ATGCCTATAGCTTACTCCTCTCATCAAACCTTCTTTATTGTTTGGACCGGTCGGTTCACCGATTCAACCGGTTGAACCGATCAAACCAGGAACCGAACTTGAAAACGGTTCAATGATCGGTCCGATTTTGAAAACATTGGTTGAAAGTATAGATAAAATAATACTGCAACAGGTTGCAGTTCAGTTTAAACCGGTTGCTCTTTCATCTCCTTAAATGCAGTGTGACGTGGTCCAATAAATAAGCAGGTGCCGGTTGGAGAGTGCAGAAGGCGACTGCCCCTAGCACTGCACAAGGAAAAAATATTGGTTTTATTAATTTCTAAATAAGATCAATTTTTAAATTTTTGCATTTAAGAATACCAATTTTCAACATCTTTTATTTAAAAATACTAATTTTCAATTTTTTATATTTAAGTATTAATTGGATGGTGATGTTGATATGATAAATAAACTTTTTAATTGAAATGCCGAAAGTTATTATCCTTAATTAAAAAAAGTTGAAAGTTAGCATCTATTTATACATATTTTTGTAAAGGATCAAACTTGGACTCAAGTAGTCTCCCCATCATCAAGACTTGCCCTGATTTAAGGGCTCGTTAATGCCTTGAATGTGCATTTACTAAAAGGCCAAGTCATATCTAATGCTACAATACATGACTACATCACCAGACATACACAACAAAGTCTCGTTCCTTTATTATTTCCTTATTAAATTTCATCATTTTTATTAACTGAGCACTATCTTTATATGCAGGCCATTAAAGAACCCATGAACCCAAACTCATGGGAATTGTTCGAAATAAACTATGGAAGTAATAGCTTGACGAGCATGGATGGATGCACATTGCTCGCCCAGTGAAGTATAGTATTTCACTACTGCAGGAATCAGATATTCAAATTGAAATTTCGGTCCGGATATATTAAAAATTGGTTCGAATATATATATCCGGACTGATATTGGTCCCTATAGTTGATTTGAAAAAACCTGGTATGAAAAAATATAATATACGGACCGACACAAAATCGGTCCGTATATATATAATATACGGACCGAAATCAGTCTGGATATTTCAGTAAAAAATATAAAAGGTTATTTAAAAATTGAA